ATGTAGTTATTGTTTTTGATTTGTTAAACTTTGCAAGAAACGGTAAAATGCAGAGGACTATTTTATGATCACTGGAGTGAAACGTTTCGTTAACCACCACAGATGTTTGTGCGACATTGTTTCAGAATATCGAGTCACGAGTGTTGTGCCATGGTGAAGGTAGAAGTACATGTTGCTACTAAACGTATGTGTCTAAGGAACTAAATTTTTTACAATGAACGATGGATCGGACCGTGTCTTGCAGTTGATGCTGAGAAGGTTGAAATTACCACAAATAATTATTCAGGCAAACTCAAGGGGGGCAGACTTAGCAAATGACTCACTTATAGCAGTGTCAGTTGAACTAGGAGTGTTTGTAGCTCAATATACACATACATCTAGCCTTTTGCATTCATGAACCGGATAATTTTCAAACCTTTCATATGACCGAGTTCTTTTTTAGCCGGCTGCAATTAAACGCAACTCAATTTCGTAAATGTGCCTTTCAGCTTAGCAACCAATCAGAATGTGGCGGGAATTATTATATCCGCCATCTTTGTACGTAATGGCGGCCGGCTTTCTTCGTTCTGTGCTTCTTTTAGCTATTTCTTTTGTGTAACTGTGTAATTAATGTTTCAATGTACTAAGATGCCGCAGTTAGTGTAGGGTTCTACATGTTGGTGTGAAATTTACTTCGAATCAGCATTGTTTTTTGGGTTTTTGCTGCTTCTACTCTAGTCAATGTATTTCTTCAGTCAAGCTGGTTAGTCTTATGTTTTAAAATGGAAATCGGTTTAGTTTTGACTTGTTTTCAAGATATCAAAAGCCGAAGTTCGTTTTTTCTTAGCTGAAATAACTGTTGCTGCGTCATGTGACTGACTGTCCGCATGTTCATTCCTAACTGTCCTCTATGATGTTATCGGCAAAATGAAAGGAAACAATTTCCGGTTTTTAATTTTCTTCAGTATTGCGGACAACAATATCCCACCAATGAGTCAAACTAATACTTAGTGCCTAGCCGTAGGGCATGTCAGTATTGTTTTCGAAAATACTCAGGCTTCCGACAACCATAGACAAATTCACAGATGCAACCAATCTATTGCATAGGGTTTGTTATGAAAAAATATGCCACATAGCAGTAATGGAGGGGTTGTACGCATTACGTAGTGCGTTAAAGCAAGCTTAACATTGAAAAGCCGGAAATCTGCTATCAGTGTGTAGTGTATGTTTGCTGTTTCGGCCACAAAAGGAAGCCGGAGGGTCATGATCAGGGAGTAAAAAGGTAACTAACTGTTATTAAGCTCAGCTTTTTATAGACCATAATTCACCACTCGCAAATTTGTTATTTATACGGTATGATGTCAACCGTTATCTAATATGTTCACCTTTACGATGAAAAGTACTTGCAAATTCTCAACTTCATATTCGAATTAATTTGTGACAACTGTCTTCCAGTTTGAGTGCTTCGTACGCCCTGGGAGACTAGATTCCTACATTATTCACAGTTCCAGTATAACTTTCTCACACAGTAAGTTCAAAGTAAACACTAGTCTTTCTAAATAAGCATGTTAAGCTAATATCCGTATTCTCTATTTCAGTTGATCGATGAAGACATGTACCACGTGCATCTGTTGTATATTGTTATTTTACTCCAATTCTTACTGTTATATCTTCTGAAAAATAAAATTGCTATATGCAGCAAATACAGACTTATTGTTTTGATGGTGGTAGGGGGGTTCATGGGTTTTTTAGCAGGACTGTAGTAATATTCTCACTAAAGAGCTAAGTGAGTGTGTAGACCAATGTAAGGTACCATACAGGATGCCTTTGAGTTACTCGTGTTCCATTAGTGTCGGTAGAAGCATTACTTGCTTATCATATGACATTTGAATAAGGAGCTATGAGATTAGATGCAGGGACGGTTAGGATGTGTAACGCGTGTCCATCCATCAGTTTTCGTGGCAACTCACGGTGGCTAGAATAAGTTGTGAGAGGACCCGAGCCTGTAGGTTTCCTAAGAAAGTGACGGAGATATGCACCAAATCACCTTATGAAGAGCGCCTCCAATCACTTAACCTCTACTCATTAAAGTATAGACGTCTTAGAGGTGACCTATTTACTTACAGGATCCTTAACACTTCTGGACATTCTCTTAAACACCTATTTGAGCTTAGTCCCAGAAACTAGAGACACGACATAGCAGAATGGACTGTAGACGCAACTTCTACTCCTTAAGAGTTGTCGAATGATGGAATTCGCTTCCCGCCGAACTAGTCCAAGCGACTTCCCAGGAGTCATTTGGGAGGCGACTGGATCTTTTATTGTTAACATACCTAGGTTCCTGCTTGGAGGTTTTGGTGATCCCCTGCTAATAGACACGGAAGCCTGAACACATGAATTAGGTGATGAGAGGCTCGATTATCACAAGTTTCTCGCAACGATTAAGTAGATAAAACAAAGCAGCATTAGGTTCAAAAATTTATTCGAGAACTTTCATTAAGAATCGAATATGAAACAAAGGTTTAAACCAAGTTCCAGTCTAAAAGTTGCATTTGTAATGTTAAGCTGCAGTTTTTGTTGTTTTTTCCAAACCAAAGGGTAAAAGAAGTAACTCAAAAAGTACTGGAAGTAGTTGTGAGATTAAAATGGACATCCAGCATCCTTTTTATAATCTGCTGTTAGTTGGGTCTCCCGTAAACAGATCCATAGGGCCATAGTTCTAAGGGCGAAACAGTTCTTAACATCTGTGAAGACTCAGTCCTGTTGCATTCTAAATGAGAAAACAGTAATGAATTTAGTCAGAAATGTGGAATAGATAAATAACCAAATTACATGTATTTTAGCAAAGAATTTATGCAGTTGTGATTTACCTTTAGTTCATGAATATTAGGTCAGGTCAGCTATTTATTGTGCAAAGCATAACATGGACTCAATACCGTATCTCAATGCTTTTATTATTTTGCTCTCATTTAAGTATTACCATGTATCTGCATCTAGTTTAACAGGGAGACATACAAGCAGAGTTAGTGTTTGATGAACTAAAAGTCCTAGTTGTCAAAAAAATTCTTAACATTTGTCCACAGCCAACTGCATTTAATTGAAATACAGAACACTCATCTTCTAAGACTGTATACTGCGCTTCTACGGGCAAATAAAAGCTCAGATACTTAGCTATCCTGCTACCGATGTTATTGCTGGGGAAATTGTTTAATGACAGTGATCATGAAATATGGTCAGTGATAGATGTACAATCTAGAAATAAACACCAAACATACTTATCGCTATCTTATAATGTATGACATCAACAGTACCAAAAGCACTTTTTTCCTATTTTTAATCAGACTGATTTGAATCAGTATACTCATCAGAAACAGGCAACTCTACTTACTAGGCTGATCTGTTTCGTTACAGACTTCAAGCAAAATACCATAATTCTTTCAACTAAACTGAATTATACGACAACCAAGAATACTAAACTAAGCAAGTGTCATAGTTATTGTTTCATTTGCACAGGCATATTGCTTAAAGTAGTTAAATGGACATAATTAAGACGATAAAACAAAAACACGAAATATAGGCCAATTGAACTCACCGAACAGAAGACAAAGAATATATATATTGCTTTCCGACTGAAAACAACAGGTAGTTGTTCATAAAAACATAGTTTATAGTACAATAAACCTTTTTACAGTAAAATCATGCACTCACAGTCTATCTGGAAACAATCAACTATGTGAATAAACTCACTATGACTTGAGATATCATCCCAGCATGCAATGGACGTGCAGTGTAACGCAGTCGAACGTGGCGAATAAAAATATAAAAAAAGATCAAAATTAGCTATATAATCTAGTTATTTAATTAAAAATACATTATGAAATGTCAAAATCTGTGGTTACTTGAACGCAGAGATGACCGGTACATTAAGTTTACATGGTTGCGTTGCGGATAAGATCACCCTTTTTAGCCAGTATCAGCTTTTCGACAGCTAGCTGGTGCGCTTTCGAGAATACAGACTGTCTCGTAATCGTTATGTGTTTTGTAACATGGCTGGTTACACGGTAGTTTCGGTTGTATTTTGTCAAGTTCAGAACACCATTAGAGTGTTGGTTGGAAGTGTTGACCAACCACATGTTTAATTGTTACCTGGAATAAACTACGACGGAGAAATAAAGCTACAAAAACAGATAATTTAGCTGTACTGCCTGCTAATTAGTGTTCGGTTGGGTCGATGACCAGGTTGTTATTTGTATCAGGTCATTTGTACTGAGATTTTTAGTCTAGTTTTGTGCCATTTGAAGCTTTTTGCTGACATAACAACCCTTGGTCCTAGGGGGTTCTCAAGAATTCAGTCGGCACATGCAGCCAATTCGTCTGTGGAGTTATTTCGGAACGAGGAAAAGATTACGAGGAAACAAAGGTAACATCGAAGAACGTAACATCTAAAACTCTACTACAAGGGACGAACTCACGGTTTATCGTTTCGTGTGCCAGATTACAATAGGCTGACCACCGAAGAAGTCACGGATATTCATGACTTGGAAACACTGTTAACTGTAACGAATTTTCATTCAAATATTCCTGAGCCAGTTAGATACAAAAGTGCGAGAGAAGAAATGTGAAAATGTATTTCGAAAATTATTAGTTCACACAGGTTGTTTCAACCCAAACCGACTAGTTCTCACAAGGGTTACGCAGCATGTCATACCCCTTGGTGATCTGGTATGGATACTTTAACGAGCTCCCTCAGCTAGGGGTGCTGCGTCCGGCAAAATTAGTGAGGTCAGGACTGAGGATGAAAACTCATATAACTATTTGTCCTGTGGGTTTGTTTACTGGTAAACATGAAGAAAACATATTAATTTACATAGTAATGAGAGATACGACTACTTTCATTGACTAGATAATAGAAAAATTTTACTTTATTTAATGCTATATATCACAAAAATATAATACAGATGATATTATAATGGATATAGAAAGAGATTCTATTACTGTTTTAGAGCTTTGTTGTTTAGAATGTCATTAAGCGCTCAAGGTCCTCAAGGTCTTTTGTGTTGCTAATGAGTGACAGTGCTAAATGATATTCATGCAGTTTATTCGTCAAGATATTACGTTGTTTCATCTTCAAATATGAAAGTGAAGAGATCTAAGGCATCGGACTTAGCTGAATCACTCAAGCACCTTAAAATGTAAGTCAGAGTGTACATTTTCCAGCTACACCGTTTTCTGTGCATTACGACTAGGATTAGTTTCAGTGTCACGAATGAAAGTTAAACTCTTAGTTTCATTTAAGGTATTTTCATTTTTAGACCAGTAGATCTAAACAGTCTGTACCTTGGACAACTAAGTAGATAATCAAGTGTGATATATATCACAGGTCTTAGAGTCAGGTAAAAGTACTATCGTTTGTCGAACTAACTAGTTATTACAAAATGTTTGGGGTTTTTTTCGTCAGAATTTCCACTCGTTTTGCCCCATGGTGACCTCATCTAGAGTAGGAGTTAGATACTGCTCAAATGATCTCGTCCCCCTTTTAAATATATTTTTGGGCAGAAATTTAATAGCGATGAAGCGTTGATTTGCCTTTTTAGTTGTCCCACCTTGTTTATTCGGGGAATTACCACATGCTAGTGCGTCAGTATGCGAATCAGCATTTATAGGCGACATTTTTTTCAACGTGTGAGGATAAAAGTGCTGTCGTAAGATGTAAACTAAAAGCGTTCCATCTACATTCGTCACCACCTATAACATGATTGCCACGATAGATACTCGACTGTGGCTGTAAATCATGGTTATTAAGAGTAGAAGAGATTCTCAGGATACTAGTACATAATTATAGATGCCTTTGAATCACTAATCAGTTTCTGCGTTACTTATGACTGACGGTAAAATGATATATGTTCAGATGAAAAAGTATGACGTAACCCATCTAAGAAGTTCAGTTTTAGGTACTCAGATATGTTTTATTTACTAGATGCTTAACTGTTGGATAGGGAAATCAAGCATTCCCCTTTAAGTACTCTAGCTCAAATAATGTAAGTTTCCCATTGTTGTAGACCTAAATAAAACTCCGGGTCTAAACTTGGTTGGGCTGTATTAGCGAATATGGTGTACATGATTTGATAAAACAGCTATCCTAGTGACTTCACAAATGGTTATATTTGGTGAATCTCGGCATCTGCAGTATGTCTTAATCAGCTACTAGCACTTAAATTTCTCAGGCATGCAGAGGAGTTACTATGTCAAATGGTTTTATTCTGTTTTTAAACTGAGTTAGGGCGTACTGATCAACAGTGGATGCCAAATCTCAACTATTGGGCTCTGTCTGGTTAGACTGCGTTGGCTAACGCAACTCATCTGAAGGTTGATTCCACGTAGATGTATAAAACGTCCGAATTTCTCTCATAGTTGCTTTAAAAAACTTGATTTAAATATGAGCTTTTTTTGAAATATCTTTATGGAGTCTCAGAAAATCTTTCAACAACTGACTCATATCCTCTATTTCACCTAGGGAGGTTTCCAAATGTAGGGTACTGATTTACTTGTAATCGAGAGCCTGTGTATCGTTTTGATTATAATTTTCTGGATTTTTGTATCCCTGAGTTACAGTCAAGCGCTAAACAATTGTCTTTTATACATTTTTACCGCTGAATTCTCCTAACTGGTTTAAAAAATGTCTTATTAGTTGAGTAACTGATTTGAATCAGTTTGGTAGATAAACGTCTGAGTTTCATATAACTTCTAATGCTTTATTCTATTAGTTTTTTATTGGTTACTTTTTGCATCTACTATCTTCTGATTCTCATGTTCATTGCTTAGAATTAGTCAACCTACCCAATATGAACTTTTTGTTAGAGTTGATCAAAATGATTTTTCTCTCGTCGATCAGTTCATATAAAAATTGCATTTCATCTATCGATCCGGATTGGATTGAGTTTTCTTAACAACCCGAACCATGCTCACGGCTCGCTATAAAAAGCCTTATTCATGACATGTATAAGACTGAAAAACTAATCGAGTTTTATAAGAGATATCTTTAAATTGTACAAGCCAAATACTTTTCAGGAGTACAGAGAATACTTTTCAACTTAACTTACTCTAAGCGAATTTTAACTGTTTAAATTGTTGTGGAAATCAACGTGTTTAAGATTTTAACATCTTTTGTTACCATTATGTTGAGTGGTATGCATATTTGAGTGATTGACATTACTGAAATGTTATCACGGAAATTCGTTAAGTATTTTGAAAATTTAAAATCAACCAGTCCCAGTAAATCTGTGGAATAATGAGTATGTTATTTCCGAAAATCTTGAGTGTTAATTATTTTTGCTAATTCGTATCCATTTTTTCATTCACTTTATGTTTAGTAGCGATCGCCGTTTTCGTCCCCAACTGAAGGGGTCTACACTCCACACACTTGCTTCTCTTAGTGAAGTATCTTCGGGCTGTAGATATAATTTTCGAATGACACGGTCTGCCTCGTCAGCAACGGTTGTAAGTTACGGTTTTCGGTGTTGCAAAGCATGTGAATATTGTCGAGCTATCAGAAAAGCTGGTACTGAAGGTGAAGTGATAGATAACAATTCAAATCAGGCGAGTACTTTGTATCCATGTTTGTCAGTAGAACATTCAAATACATCGGCAGACTGTTCTGAAGACACAGGATCTTTATTAGAACCACCTACTTCATCTATCAGAAGACCATCTGGCTACCTCTGTACAACACTCCCGCCAAAACCCTGCCATTCCAACTATAGAACCGTAGCATGTGACCTGCGCCCTTTGCATGTTTCCTCCTTCTTCGAACCCACCCATTTACGTCGGTCTTATGGCAATGAGTTGAGTGAACTTGATCAAGACCATAGTTCGATCACTCAAAGTCCTTACAACACAACCAGCACAGATCACGGTGATCACCCTTTATGCTGCTGTCACGTCATTGGGTTTCATTTACCTCATCACTTACGTCTATATCGTCGACTGTACAGTCTTGTTGACCACCCTTGTGTAAGTCTATATTACCCTTGCAAACATCATGCATATAGACACACTACAGTACCCAGTGGCTGTTCCACGGGAGCAGCTACTTCCTTCCGTCGTTCTTTATCATCAAGGCATCGCCATACCATTACTCCAGTTTCAGTTCATCGATTTAGCATCGATTCACGGACCGCATCATGTTCTAAATCTTTAGATACTGAATGCGATTCGGGACTGACAGATGTATCTCCTGGATCCAACTATTGTAGTATTCATCAGCATACGGCAGTGCAATCGTGTTTACAACAAAGTGCAGCTAAATACAAAAGTCAGCTCACTGAAAATCGTCTTGTTGGAACCCAGCGTTGTCGTAGAAATTCGGATCCAGAAAGTTGGCAGCAGTTTCGTAATTTACAATTCAGTGGACCTTCTATATCTAGTGATATGAACGAGAATTTTGATTTGAATGTCTCATACGACGGTGAATTTAACCGGACAGAAGCACTACTGAATAACTCACAGACTGATCAAACAGATGTATCCATTCGGTTTAGTACATTTAGGAACCGAGAGGTGAAAACTTTAGGGTAAGTTTAAATATTTCAGATATTTATAATTGTTTTTCTGTGTTTAAGTATTTGTCAAGCATTTTGTGAATGGCATTTCACTAGGATAGTAACATCTTGTGAATTAATGGGAAGTTTCATAACTCTGGAGTTAATAATATAGAATGTTTCAGCCAATTTTCCTCAAAAAATCAACTTTTACGCTTCAGACAACTTTAGTTCTACTTGTAATCGCTCGTTTCGTTTATCGTATTTGAGTATAATATACATCTTGGGTTGACTTTAGCTAGATATATTCTTAAAAGCTATGGAACGCTAAGTATATGTTTCGCTTAGTATGGGACTTCACGATTCCCCCTAGAATTGAACTCAGGATCCTCAAGTTTCGTTTTGAGCACGTTGCTTCTAGATCATTCAGTCAGGAGTCAGTGCTCCATATTTCCAACTTTATTTGATTGGTGATATTGTACAACCAGTATTACGACGTTTTCTAGTGCTCCATAGTTTTCATTATTCATTTAGCCAAAATCAGTCCGTGATGTAAACAATCTTCATATTGAAAAGATGTTCACGTACTTCATGTTAATAGTATCCCCGTTTTCTAGTTAGTCAAGCTTCCAATTATTAGTGTTTGGAAACCGAGATTTATTATACATTCATACACTTTGAACATCACAACAGTCCCTTTTCATATTTATTTCTCTTGATCCTCATTATACTTATTGACAATAGAGGATATTTGCAACTCAGGTGGATGATTTCGTTATTATGTTCTCAAACTAGATGGCTTAGTTGAAATTTCATTGTACTTATCAAAAACACAAGGACTCTATCTCAGTTTTCATTTCATTCGAAGATCATCAGAACTAGCTAACTTAACACTTGAAGTAACTGAAAAGCTCACTTCTACACAAAATAAGCGTTGACAGTATCCAGTACGGCAATGAAAACTATCTAGTTTTGAGAACAAAGTAACCTTTCATTGATATCATTACTTCTTAAGTTGAAGAACCTGAAAAGTTCCAGCTGTATTACTAGGACCAAGCTATCAACTGTTTGTTACAGTTTTCATCATCCAAATGTATTAAATCAGATAGGAATCCTCTAACTGGAACCCAAAAATTGTGAAACACGAAGATACACCTGCTTTTAGTACGCGCTCATACTACAATGTAGTTTAGATGAGATCAGAGATGATTTTTGCCAAATTCTTCAGTCATTTCAAAATTATTTATTATTTATTTATTTGAACACATAAATATTGGTACAAGAGAGCGCCAATATATATGCGCCACACAAAACAATAAAAATTCGAAGAGAGATAGAAAAAAAAACTAAGGAGCACAAAAGAAAAAGAGAACGATAACGAAGAGATTGGTGTAAGGTAGTGTGGTAGTAACGAGGGAACGGAAAGGTACAATCAGAAGAAATCTTTCAAGTAAGGGAGACACAACCACTTTTTATGAAGAAAGTAAAAGAAAGTTACAGCAGGATCGCCACTGGCTTCTATTCTGAGCCATATCTGATAACGTCTCTAGCCACTGTGTAGCACCATCTCTCAGACTCCAACCAGGGAGTCGTGAAGGACCGACAGAAGCCAGTCCTTTGCAGCTTTCTTTCATACCATAACACTATGTCATGCACTGACCACCTCTCCGCTTTTTCCAACCAGTCCCAGAGTCGGCAAATAATGCACGACGTGGAATTCTCTGGGACGACATTCGTAGAACATGTCCAAGCCACCGAAGTCGGTGTTTCAAGATGGTGACACCAATTGAATTATCATCTCTGTGCCCGAACACATGATGCCGAACCTCTGCATTACTGACATGGTGTTGCCACTGAATGTCAGCAATCCTTCGGAGACAGCGATGATCGAACACAGAAAGTCGTCTAACGTCCTAAACTCGGAGAGGCCAGGTTTCACAAGCATAGAGCAAAACTGCTCTCACCGACGCGTTGTAGATCCGACCTTTTACAGCCAGACTAACATCATGAAGGCGCCAAAGATGGCCCAGTTTGGCATAGGCCACTCTGGCTTTCACTATACGTGCATTGATCTCGTCACTCACACCCCCACCAGCACTTATGCAGCTACCCAGATACACGAACTTCTCGACTACGTCTATCTGCTCACCATCCAGAGTGAGTACAGGATTGGAATCCTGCCAGTCTTGTAGAAGTACTTTGCACTTCGAAGGTGCAAAGCACATACCATACCTACGGACACAGATTGCCAACTGATTAATTGCGGATTGCATGCCTTGGGCATTATCGCACAGTAAGACAATATCGTCCGCATACTCAAGGTCGAGAAGTCTTTCTCCAGGCAACAGATCCACACCACCATTACTTACATTCATCAGAGCTGTTTCCAGAATGTCATCGATGGTAAAGTTGAAGAGGAATGGTGAGATTGGGCAACCCTGCCTAACCCCACTACTCGAATGGAACAATGGAGAGAGTTGATTGTATGCCCTCACTCTACCTGAGGTGTTTTTATATTGGGCTTTTAGGATGTTAATAAGCTTCTCAGGCACACCCTTCTTCAATAGACAATCCCAGAGAACAGTCCTGTCCAACGAATCGAAGGAAGCCCTGATGTCAAGAAACACTACGATTGTTGACCTGTGATAAGTATGGCGATGTTCTAACATTTGGCGGAGGGTGAACATATGATCAATACATCCTCGACCAGAACGAAACCCAGCCTGCTCCTCGCGAGTCAATCTTTCTCGGGTTTTGAACAACCTACGAAGTATGACGGAAGCCAATAGCTTGGACGCAATCGGAAGTAGACTTATCCCCTGATAGTTGTTGCAGGAACGACGTGAACCCTTTTTAAAGATAGGGACAACTATCGACTCATTCCATGACGTTGGTACACTCTCTAATTCTCAAACCTTTGTAAACAACGTCGTCAATTCCTTAGTCAAAAAGTCACCACCATCTTTAAAAAGAGCCGGAGGTAAGTCATCTGGGCCAGGTGATTTGTAGCGCTTCAAGAGTTGGAGTTCCTTGCGGACTTCCTCCTCGTTTGGTGGATCAGTCGTCACCGGCCATGGAGGGCAGGACAGTCTGACCGATGTTGCCGGAGCAGCAGGCCAGTTGAACTGCCCTTCGAAAAATTCTGCCCATCGTCCAAGACGTCGATGGATGTTAGTGATTGGCATTCCATCATCCTCGCAGATTGTTTCACTCACACCAGACTTCTTGCTGCCAGTGGCTCGGATGAGCTGGAAGAGCTTCCGGTAGTTACCAGATGCAACTGCTGCTTCCAGCTCATTAGCACGCTCCGACCACCAGGCTTCTCGGTCCTTACGCAGGCTTTGCCCGATTTCCTTACGTAAAATCCTTCGTTTATGGTTAAACTCACGGTCATCCGGAGTAGACCGACGGGCTTCAATAAGTTGTAAGGAACCAGAAGAAACCCAGTGCTTATAAGCGGGACGTTTCGCAAACCCACAACTGACTGTACCCGCCATTTTCATGGCGTCATGCAATTGCAACCGATGCTCATCGATACCTTTCGGTGGAGTGGTAGCTAGCCTAGAGGCTAGCTCGGTTCGATACTTATTTGCAACAGAAGTTACAACCAGCTTGCTAATATCAATCCTTTGATGGCGGTCACTTCGTTGTCCACTGTAAAGTAAGGTAAGATTGGCGCAGACCAAGGCATGGTCAGAGTCCAGATAGTTACTCCAAAAGGAGCGGCAGTCTTTTACACAACCACGCCAGCGGTAGCTGATCGCGATGTGATCAATCTGAGTCCAGGCTTGGGATGCAGAGGGAGGACGCCAGGTGGCACATCGGCGATGACTGTGCCGAAAGTTAGTGATAGCCAGAAACAGGTTGTGGTCTATGCACAGTTGCAGTAGACGGTCCCCGTTATCTGACCTGCGACCAACGAGTCCCCATCGGCCACCTAAACGACTCTCTTCTGTGTCTAGACGCCCGACCTGAGCATTCAAGTCTCCGGCTAGTACTACAATATCTGTCGAACGCACTTTCTGGAGAAGAACAGATAACTGGTGGTAAAACTCATCCTTGATTGCATCCGGGCTGCAATCTGTCGGGGCATAGGCGGAGATGACGAAAAGACATCGTTTCTCACGCCGATTTCTTCTCACTTTGATGGAACTTTCTAATCTAACAGCACATAACCGACTGTTAATGGGGATCTAATCGACTAGTGCTGCCTCAGCTCTAGCGCTTAATGCGACACCAACGCCAGCAAGACCAGACGAAGATGCCACAGGGTCCCCGGATAAGCGCACGTAAAACAAGCTTTTCGAAGCGACAGATAGAGATAAAATTTGTAGTACTTCGCCAGAGTCTTGAATACGGGGGGGGACATTAGTTAACGAGTTAAAGGGACAGTCAGAGAGCGTAATTGAAACGTAATGATTGTTGCGACGGTTGATGTCCGAAATCTGGTGCTCATACACGATGTGCTACGCGTTAAATCCCCCAGCTGAATACTTGATCGATAAAGTATATTGGGTTACCGAATAAAATGCACAAATATGTACATATGTATACATATAATTCTACCCCTTAGGAAGTTAACCCATTTCTTAGTAAATGAAATACACCTGTTCTTCAGGTCACTTCTGTTTCCCATCGGCTGACCCTCTCAGATTACTTTTGATTGGCCCATCATATCGATTATCTTAAAGGTAACCTTTTGGATCCTGTTTTGATAAAGTGATAATAGTGATCTGCGATTTCGGTCCAGAGACCGATACGTTCCCCGATAACAGTTATTACAAACATGAAGAGGAGGTGGCTAAAGGCATCATTCCATTAATGAACATAGTCATCTTTTTAAGAAAACTGGATAGATAATTGAACATGCAGTGGTTTGTTTTCATATATATCTGCGGTTAGATAATTACAACCAGAATAAATCTGAGAAGGCTCTCTTTGTTCAGTTAGAGGACTAGATCATGAGGTACAGGATTGTCTGGATAACTAATAAAGCATGAAAGTAACTGCTGTTTTGATACAGCTTGGTAAAGTGTAGTCTTTTATCTGAAACTTAGTAAATGAAATAAATAAAAATCCTTCTGCTAAAAGTTGCTGATAGTCAGTGCATTTCTTAAACCACGTGGATGTATAGACCAGACATAAATATGTTTTTCGACGTCTAGCTATAGTTGTATTCCTCGGTCTTAGGGCAACGTTCGAATCTGTTGGTCGTGATGTTTTGTGGCAGCGTCAGTTATCAAATAGCGTACCAAAGAAGTACATTAAGTTTGTAAAGCTTCTCTACTCGAACACTGCCAGTCGAGTCCGAGCTTATGGCGAACTGTTATCGAAATCGGTTACTTCAAGTGGTGTTTGTAAAGGTGGTTTGTTTTCCCTATTTTTATTTGATTTCGTCGTAGACATGCCTTAAGAGATAACACTTTCATCGTCTTGCTTCCCAGGGGTTGATCTTTTACCAGGAGATTCTCTTGTTGACTTGGAATATGCAGATGATATAGTTCTATTTAATGAAGACTCTGACAAAATGAAGAGTCGTCTGACTACCTTATGCAACAATGCAAGAATGTTTAGGTTGAAGTTCTCTCTCCAAATGTGGAATGTTACTTCATGATTGACTTGCGTCATCGCCTGCATTAATGATAGGGAGTGAAGTAGCTGAACGCATCGAGCGCTCCATTATCTTGCAAGTTTCATCATTCCTGATGGTCTGATGTCTGACGAAATCCCGGCACGGATTCAGAAGGCTCGATTGGCCTTAGCTGACTTGCGTCACTTGCGGTGTAGGTGCAACATCCGTCTTTTAACTAAAAGACTAGTTAACTGTACAGCAGTTTGATATGTTCGACTTTATGAATGTGGGACATGACCATTAAGAACAAAGGATATTCGTAGGTTACTAGTATTCGATCATAGGTGTCTTCGAAGTATTGCTCATGCATTTTGGGACCATTGAGTAACCAAAACCTGGGTTAGGAATAGGATATTAGAATGAGAATGGGGAATCGATTGATGAGGTAGTGAATCTTCATCAACCAAGGTGGTTGGGATGTGTTGCGTATGCACAGCCACCTCGACGGGCGATGTTGTGTGGTGCAGGAGTAGACTGGAAGAAATCTAAAGGCGACCGAACTAAAGCATGGCGTCGGTCCATGAAGTCGTTGACACTTGGATTGAGCCATGTTGACAGGTGTAGACTACCTGGTTGGTGTCCGTGTGGTTATCATAACCAGTGATTAAACACTTTGAATGGCATGGCTCAAAGCCACAGGTGCATCCATTCTTTATCTTTCCCTAACTTTTGAGAGTCTAAATACTTCACACTTAGTTTTTATTTTCTTATTTTACTATTTTATAATTTATCGAATCGTATGTCTAATCTTTCCTATCACCACTAACAATGTGACTACCTCTATTATTCTGGTATTTAGCCTGACGCTTTCATGTCTTTGTGCTAATGAACCGATGTGCATACGTACCAGGTTTTAGGTTACCACTGATTAACTGACTGTAACCATCCGAACTCTTTTATGTCCGACCATTCCATATTGGTTGTTTGGAGAGGAACAAAACTGTAAGTTCCAATTGCTAAAACATCCCGACTGTACGGGAGTGTGACAGTGCCAAGGCGTTTTCTTCACACGACCATCTCTAACAATTTTGCCTTCCTACATAGGAAGAACTGGACTAAGAAAAGTTTTCTGCTCCGAGTATATCTGGCGTCGGTTGTAAGGCCCCGAAAGATGGAGTTGATGCGGCAAGTGGCCGTGTGTGATCGACACCAAGTAGTTGTCTCTTGGTGGTTCTGTATACCCTCCCAAGGTCTACTAATGACTCAATTTCACCTACAGGTATCTCATAAAGCGATATCCTTTCATGCTCTGGACAACTGGAAAGTGAAGATCCCTCAGATACCTCTTACTGCTAATATGTAGTACACGATTTTGTTGAGTTTTGACTTAGGCTGAATAAATAGTATAAATTATTGATGCTTTAAGTGTTTATTTTATTTATTCAGATCTAACTTACAGTTTCATGGAGCCGATCATCAATATGACGCCAAACTTTGTAATTCAGTTGTGGATAGTAATGGCAATAGAAATAATATTGATTATGAGTATGCTTTGCCGGATAGTAATACCCAATTCGCACGGCCGATTATTGCAAAAACCACAACTAATTTCCCTGCATTTAATATTTCGAATTCTGTTTTCACTCCATTGGCTAATGAAAATTCTAATTTTTGTCAAATGAAATTTTCACAAAGTACTGACACTTTGCCACAGTCTAAAAATTCGATTGTTTCATATGAGTCTACTTTGAATCCAAGTTCACAACAACAACAACAATTTCACTTTCGACCTTCACTTTTATCATCAGCTGAACGTTCTGAACCGCCTATATCATCAATCATGTATACATCAGATACTTGCTTCTCATTGCGTTCTAACAAATCGAATACTGTGAATTCTTCAGATATATCACTATGCAGGTCACAGACAGAAATGGATAATCAATCTGGATTAGCTTGTCAACCGTTAGTTTGGACTGACTTAAGTGGTGACGGTGGTGCTAATACTTCGCTGAAACAACCTTTTATGGAATCCGATGTGAAAGTGAAGGAAAGTACTGCCCAATGTTCCAACGAAGCAAATTATTTAAGCATTGCTGATATGAGTCATCATGTCAATAGTAATAATAAACCTCAATTAGTTTCAGATGTATCAGTAAATGAATTAGCTTCGTACATGGAACATATGGTTCATATTCCGGGCAGAATGTCTGAAATGGCTCAAAGAATGTATCTTTAGCTGTAGTATTGGTTAATTTACCTCAAGATTAACGTCAGTTTTCATGTACTAAGATGCCTTGGAAGACAACTTTTTCCAGCTTTCGTACATAAATATTTTTAAGTGGAATGTATTGGTTCTCTAAACAGAGTTTGTTGTTTACAATTTCCTCATAATTGTATTGTGATATGTTATATTTGTTTATTATTTCTGTCTATCTAATTATTGTCATTTCAGTGAAAAATACATTTCGATTTCATTTTCTTTTAAAAACTGTGATGATAATCTCCGAGTGAGGTGGTATACATATAGCCACCATAAATGTTCTGTAATATCTCACATGAATAATTGTATAAAGATTAACTGTAATCCAATGATCATTAAAAACGTTATTTGTGTTCATAAAATTCCATTGGTTCTCAGATTTCCTTACTATGTTTCCAACTGTATGTGTTTCTTCTGTCAATCTGCCCTTCCTCTCTTCATAACACATTTCTTTTTTGACAATACATGTCTTTTTTTTCCTCAGTAGTGACGTCTAATCTGTATTATTTATTTCGAGGTTAACAATACACAAAATAGCTTATCATCATTTTGAATAAATGGTATAATATTTTCGCATCACGCTTTACTGTTCACTTTTATCATTATTGACTTTCAAGATGAGTCGTTATTCTTTCGTCGTCTTTCTCTTTCTGTATTCTAATCACTTTCGTCTCTGTTCTGACTAAAGTGGTGATAATTGGTGTAAGCGCATTTAATTGTTTAGTTTGCGTAATTTTCTCTTAGTCCTACTAATTTTTCGCATCCAATTTATGTCACATGCTCAGCTTCTTATCCCTTTTATTTCTAGATACGTGTAGAAATTTATCTATCTATTTTTCTTGATAAATGTAAGCGGTTTACAATAAATAAACAAACAAGCATAAAGGCACATGGAATCACTATTTACTTGCTATAAGTAGTAAGCACTATGAAAATGACTATGACAAGTTACTAAGGTAATTCTTCTCCTTGTTAATGGTCTCTGTTATTTTAACATTGTTTGGAAATCTATTTTATCTTTTCTTATACATTGTAACATTAGGTGAGATCAGCTTAAATGAGAAAAGATAAAAATTGATAATAACAAATAATAGTTAACTACTTCCGTCTCATCATATTTTAGCAACGTTAAGCATTTCTTAGTATGTTTATTTGTCTTTACAACTTCTTTGTTTCTTTTCCTTATGTTGATGTCTGTTTCATGGACAGATTTCCGCTACTTATATATAGTTATTTCTTTCTAATATCTATAGTAAATTGAGTAATCATATTTAAGAGTAATAAGAATGGAATAAAATATATATTTATATGTATACATCATCGTCTACTAAGTTCTGTGTATGGATTAGTTGGGACAGTTTTAAAACAAAATAAGCTAATTAGATAATATGGAACTTTTAATATAAGTGGTTTTCACTGTAAGCATATTTCAGCGAGTAGATCATGTGGTTGTATGTACAATCCATCTTGTTCTTAAGAAAAATTTCAATATAGGTGTATGATTAGTTCTGTTGGATAGTTAATCTGAATTTCTTTACCGCATATAATGTATAAGCTATGATACTTTAATAGGATGATTACATTGTTCTTTTGTCCACCACTAGGCAGTTTTAAATTTTAGTTATCACCCAACAGTTCAACGCCATCCTTTGTTAGTGTACCTATTCTATGATACATATTTATTGGTTTCTGATGTAAGGGTACTGAATAACAATTCTGTTATTCTCTTAGGATATATTCTATTTTAATGCTTTCTATGATAGACGGTTGGCTGTGGTCGCGCAATTTCGTGAATTGGTTGATGTTAGACACTAACACTGAATGTTGGCTCAGTGGTCTAGTAGGTTAGGCGTTCGCGCGCGCGACTGGAGGCCCTGGGTTCAAATCCCGTGAGCGGGATCGGGGATGCGCACTGCCAAGGAGTCCCACAATAGGACGAAACGGCCGTCCAGTGCTTCCAGGTTTCCGACGGTGGTCTAACATCAATCAGTTCATGATTTCAATCAAAAACTTAATAATCTCCACAACCCCTATACTGGTAATTAGAGATGAACTGTATGGACCTATAGTATCATGAAAAAGTGAAGGTTATGAGTACTTGAAGTGATTTAATATGTTTAGAAGCAATAGGAATTCATGGTAGCAAAAGGCTATGAAGGACAACTTGAAGTAAACAGAAACGGAAATAAAGTGGATTTGTGACTTGAAGGAATCGTACAGGATATGAAGGACACATGACGGAAATTTACAAATGAAGTATTCAATGTATGGTTCTCATATTTTACGAAGGGATTCTATAACTTTAAATATAGTCGGTTGTCTCATCTCGTTTATCACATACATGACATTGGCTACTGCTCATTATTTAATCAGTGTTATATTTATGTCAGAACTCCGCCTGAGGTCCTTCGGGGGGCTATTGCCGGTCTCAAGCCCGGATAAAGGAGGAGGGTTGGGCATGGGGTTAGCGATCTCATCCCGTAGAAAACTAACTCTCTAAAAAACGCTAACTAGAAAAAATCATTTGAACCATTCAAACTCTGCCCTGGTAATCAGAAGGTCTTCATTTAGAAGAGTTATGACGCCTCATGATGAAAGCCGAATTCCTTCGAAAGTCACGAAGCCGACGCCCCTTCTGACAACCAGAACGACCACTTATTTAGGTACATGGAATACTCGTACAATGTGGGAGACCGGGAGAGAGATGCAGAAATGAGGAGATACAACCTGGAGGTGCTTGGGATCAGTGAAACACATTGGACGCAAGTCAGACAACAACGACTAGCTTCTGTTGTACTCCGGCCACGAAGAAGGAAGTGCCCCACATACACAAGGAGTTGCACTGATACTGTCCAAACAAGCACAAAATCCACTTATAGGATGGGAATCTCATTGACCAAGGATCATCAAAGCCTCCTTCGAAACAAAGGAAGAGGGCATTTCAATGAACGTCATCCAATGCTATGCGCCTACCAACGATTACAATGAAGACGCTAAAGATCAATTCCACAATAGGCTGCAGTCAATCGTCGAGAAGTGCCCAACAAAGGACCTGACCATTCTGATGTAAGGTTTAAATGCCAAAGTTGGAATGGACCACACCGGATATGAAGATAACATGGGACGACATGAACTGGGAGAAAGGAACGAGAATGGTGAGAGATTCTCAAACCTATGTGTCTTCAATAAACTGGTCATAGGCGGTACTATATTCCCACATAAACGGATTTACAAAACCACATGGACTTCACCGGACGACACTACGCAAAACCAAATCGACTATATCTGCATCAACAAATAGTTCAGGAGGACGTGAGAACCAAGAGAGGAGCTAATATAGCATCAGATCATCATTTGCTGGTCGCCAAGATGAAATTGAAACCCAAGAAGCACTGGACAATGGGGCGGACAATATCACAAAAGTTAAATACGGCTTTTTTTCGGGATACTGACAAACTCAACAAATTCAAGAAAGTCCTCAGCAATAGATTCCAGGCACTTCATGATCTACTCAATGGAGAGGAGACTACTATGGAGAACAACTGGAAAAGGATAAAAAAGGCGATCACTTCAACATGTTATGAGGTTCTGAGTCGCAAGAAGCACCATCACAAGGAATGGATCACTGTTGATACGCTGGATAAGATTCAGGAAAGGAGTAACAAGAAGGCAGCAATCAATACCAGCCGAACAAGAGCAGAAAAAGCCAAGGCACAAACCGAATACACAGAAGTAAACAAGCTGGTGAAGAGGAGCATCAGAACCGACAAACGTAAATATGTGGAAGATTTAGCAATGACAGCGGAAAAGGCTACAAGAGAACGAAACATGAGACAATTGTATGACAAAGAATTTCGCTGGAAGTCACCGTAAACCAGAACGACAAGTGAAAAGCAAGGAAGACAAGGTAATCACCAACATTGAAGAACAACGAAAGAGGTGGGTAGAACACTTCAAAGAACTCCTGGATCGACCAGCCCCACTGAATCCACCCAATATCGAAGAAACACCCACGGACCTCTCAATCGATGTTGACCCACCAACAATTGAAGAGATCAGCATGGCCATCAGACAAATCAAGAGTGGCAAAGCAGCAGGACTAAACAACATTCCAGGAGAGACACTGAGAGGAGACGTAGCGGTAACTGCAAGGATACTCCACATTCTCTTCAATAAGATTTGGGATGAGGAACAAGTACCAACAGACGGGAAAGAAGTACTTCTGGTCAAAATACCAAAGAAGGGCGATCTCAGCAACTGTGACAACTACATGGACATCACTCCTCTCTCAATACCAGGAAAAGTCTTCAACAGGGTATTGTTAAACAGGATGAAGCACTGCGTAGAAGCTTAACTCCGTGACCAACAGGCAGGATTCCGTAAGGATAGATCGTGTACAAACCAAATCGCAACTCTACGGATAATTGTGGAACAATCAGTTGAATGGAATTTACCACTCTACATCAACTTCATTGACTACGAGAAAGGATTTGATGGCATGGACAGAACAACACTATGGAAGCTTCTTCGACACTACGGCATGCCTCGGAAGATAGTCAATATCATACAGAAATTCTATGATGGATTAATTTGCAAAATCGTGCATGAAGGACAGTTGACAAACTCATTCGAAGTAAAGACCGGTGTCAGGTAAGGTTGCTTACTCTCACCCTTTCTCTTTCTCCTGGTGATCGACTGGATCATGAAGACGTCAACATCTGAAGGGAAACACGGGATACAATGGACATCTAGGATGCAATTGGACGACCTAGACTTCGCAGATGATCTGGCCCTTCTATCCCAAACGCAACAAGAAATGCAGGAGAAGAGGACCAGTGTGTCAGCAACCTCAGTAGCAGTAGGTCTCAATATACATAAACGGAAAAGCGGGATTCTCCGATAAAACACAGCATGCACCAATCCAATCACAATTGACGGAGAAGATTTGGAAGATGTAAAAACCTTTACATATTTGGGCAGCATCATTGATGAACAGGGTGGATCTGATGCAGATGTGAAGGCTTGGATCGGCAAAGCAAGATCAGCATATTTACAATTGAGGAACATCTGGAACTCGAAGCAACTGTCAACCAACACCAAGGTCAGGATTTTCAATACAAATGTCAAGACAGTTCTACTGTATGGGGCGGAGACCTGGAGAACTACGAAAGCCATCATCCAGAAGATACAGGTGTTTAATAACAGTTGTCTACGCAAATTACTTCGGATCCTTTGGCCAGACATTATTAGCAACAACGTACTGTGGGAGAGAATAAACCAGATCCCAGTGGAGGAAGAAATCATGAAGAAGCGCTGGAATTGGATAGGACACACATTGAGGAAAGCACCCAACTGCGTCACAAGACAAGCCCTCACATGGAATCCTCAAGGCCAAAGGAGGAGAGGAAGACCAGAGAACACATTACGCCGGGTAATGGAGATAGACATGAGAAAAATGAACAAAAATTGGATAGGACTGGTAAGGAAAGCCCAGGACAGAGTGGGTTGGAGAACGCTGGTCGGCGGCCTATGCTCCATTGGGAGTAACAGGCGTATGTAAGTAAGTAATATTTATGTCAGAAACTGGAATAGGTTTTTTAATTTACATCAATAATTTGATCGCTACTGATACCATCTAATAACATTTGGAACCGGTTTCTCATTCCGCAGAATAGGCCTATAATGCTAAACATTTTGACTCGATATATCAGCTCTTCACTCCACTGTTCCATGTAAACTGCTACTTCAGTCAACTCTATTACAGGCAAAACTTATCTTGTATGTAAGTTTTTAGAATGTATGCAATGTAGTACCCAAGTAATAGAATCGTATATCGTAATGGTAGTTCATTTATTGAGTAGCGATCTCAGTTGTACTGAAACGTAGCTCGTCAAGTACGTGTCATCAAATTACTGCTTCTATATATGAACTCAGACGACTTTTGATTACTCATAGTTATGTTGAATAATATCAGCCTTGCAGATAAATTTTTCACGTTGATGTGCTGCATTGCAATTTTATTTAGAGATATATTACTAATTGGTTAAACGCGATTTCATTAGCTTGATATTATTCCACAGAAAATGATTGTCTTTTTAACTAGTGTATAAAGGTTTTATTTGATTTTGTGTCGATATGCATAATCACTATTGAAACGTTATAATACTTTATTGAGAGAATTCTGAAATTCCTTTTCTATGACACTTATCTACTACTTGGTATGGAATGATGGGTCGTTTAAATATGTGAACGTTATTTCTACTATAAGAACTACATTGAGTAATTCGAAGTAGATAGTTGTAAGCACTAGAAT